CGCACTCGCTTCCCGAACACACACAAACAGACAGCCTCTCGACAATATGGGTTTTTGCTGGCTGTAGCAGCGCTGTACTGCTGCACAGCAAAAACACATAAAAACCGTTCGCACATCCTGTATTACGCAGTAGATTGCCAGGCCAAGCCGAATTTTAATAATTGCCGGTTGAAATTTCACGTGCCTCCAAAATGCAACATTGCCATCCCAGCCGGAACTCTTTTTTTCCTCCACGTGCAGGAAATGAGCAAAAATGTTGCTAGTATGGGTGCGCATGTTAAACTGTAGACCAAGAGCTACTAAATTGTAAGATAACAACCATTTCATACTGTTAAAGATCTGACTGCTTAAGAATCACGCAAAAAAACATGATCGCTCTGGAAATTCTAGTGTGTGACTGGGTTGCATAACTGATGAAATGTAGAACTGCACGTTTGGTGTGTATGTATGTGTGTGTGTTCGAATTTTGTCCTCCGCTACCAATTCTGCAGCCAGAGAACTTAAAAGCTGAAATCCTACAAGGATATTTCCGGCCATGTAGGGCTTCGTAAAAGTAAAAACAATTTTCACGTATGCTCGCATCGCAAAAATAGACGAGCAGAAGTCGAAATTGAAAAAGCTTTCCCGCTAAACAGTTTCGGGGATCAGAGAAGGTGAAAAGTTGAAATTTTGTAGAGGTGTACTCTGTGCAGACACCACCCAAAGAATTTAAATTCATCTTCTCCTACCCCTCGCTTACCGATAAACAGAAGGAGAAACTGGAGGAAAGCGATTTCAGGAACTAGTCAAGCTAAAGACCAGAAATTTTATCAGAATGTGCCTTGTCCGCATGCATCCCAAAAAAATCTGAAATTCAACTTTGAGAATCGTGCACACGCAAGTGAATTTTCAAGCTAAATGATCATTTCAGCGATGGCTCTCTTTTGCTACGTGTAGGAAAAAGCCAAGAACATTTTAAACGTGGGTGCACATACCAAGCTGTAAAGCAACGGCCACTCATACTGTTAAAAGTCTTTGTTGTACATGGCGTGCACTAGGTTGATAGACACCAACCTGGTGCACATCACTAATTATTGAAATTAATAAGTGCGGAATCAGCAATGATTCGTATAATAAATAACACTCATTATGTACCAGAACAACTCGCAAAAATGCGTGGTTGCACCGATTTCATAACGCGCGTCGCTACTTATTGACTTTTTTGCTGCTGAACGTTAGTCAAATATTGAAACGTAGTCTAGATTTTATGCGCAACTGTACAATCTTTACCTGCACCCTCCTCCTGCGCCTTGATCCTCCAGCCTTTTCTTTTTCCTCATGCTCCACTCTCCTGCTGTCTTAAAGCGTTATACTCCTGTTACCGCCCCTTCTTTTCTTGTAAAAAATAATTTTGTAAAAAGGACTTAATAATGCCCCAGTTTAGGCAAACAAAATTTGCAAAAGGTGATCGGAATAGATCACCAATGCACTCAAAATAATAAAACCTTGCTAGGTCTTTGCTTTACTTAAGCGATGCAACAACTGATGAAGCTCTTAGGGGAGTTTCAGTGGAGAACTACTTCTGGTTTATGAAGTTGCCAAATGCTGTCAGAATTGATTCTCTATGAGTACTGCGCACCTCGGTGTGTTAGACGGAATAAAAATTGCTTTGGTGCTTCCTAAGAACTGCATTTGTCTAGGACGTCATACACCAAATGGACAAAAAATAAAAATCCGACAAGCGTCTATAACGATATAACTGAGAGCTGAAAGGGTTTACCTTCAAGCGTATCAAAACGGTTATCGTTTCCTTCGCAGCCTCCGTAGTAGAACTGCTTGCATCGATGTGCATAACGGTCGTAGTACCATTTAGGCGCGAAACCGCGATCTTCACATGTGCCACGGTCTGGATAATGGTTGCAGCGAGCGTCTTCCAGCATTTCTTGATTTTTTGCACATTTTGTGAAGAAAATTAATAATATGCTATAGAGCACTGCCATGAAACCACTACTGCACGCAGACATTACCTAAAATCATGCACACCGCCCGGATTGCTCATGTCATTTGGGATATTATTGCCGATACTATCATATGTTCTTGAATGTCATTTCCCGTTTCAGCGTCTGGGTTTGTTTTTTTTTAAATTATTTTCCGATGAAAATAAACTGTTTACGATGAGCAAGCAATAAGATAACGATAGCTGGGCTCTCTTCGTCCAACTGTATCTGCATTTTTCAAAAAACTGGCGCGCAAAATGCCATCGTGAACATCAGGGAAATTCAAATGCGCTAGTGACCAAAATATTTTTTTCGCTGTTAGCTGTTGGTTACGCTACTGAGTGGTACGTGACCGAGACTGCAGTTAAGCAGACAATCTCCGAAGAAATAATGCGTGTGTGCAGCAGAACCGACGTGTAACAAGTGAAGGGGCTAGCAGGAGCACGATAATTTAGTACATCTTGACTTAAGATGTGGATGCATCCCAGTACCACTAAAGTCTGAACACTTATGATCCTAGGTGATAAGGGAACATCATTTCTTTGTATTAGTATGCGCCATAATGTTCATCAGATTAGTCAATGTTAAACATTTGAGTTAAAAATATGTACTTGCCTCTGGCTAGAAAATGATTCTTTTTGGGAGACGAGTACAAACCGTGAAACACGAGCATTTTCCGATCAATGAGGGCCAGACTGCTCGGTGGATAAGTGGAGTATCACGCTGTTCTGATGTCGAATGCTAGACAGTGTTGGACAAGCGCGGCAAAAAAGAATGTATATGGGAGCAAAAATGAGCTGCCGGCAGAAAGTCGGCACATACACCTTGAAGGTTACAGCGTGGGGTGTTAAGGCGTAGGCCTTGAAAGGAAGCCTTAATTAATAAGCACTACGCAACGGCTCTGAAATTTGTTTTGTCAGATAGCGTAGCTAAAGAGTGAATGAAGGAAACAGTCTTTCATATCAGAATTTCCTGATTTATCAAGCAAAACTGAAATACTAATGGCATTCGCACTTTGCACGCAACATTCATTTACAATTCGAAGCATTTTAATCTGAGCTCTAAAAAACTGCTGCCATAGTTTTGCTCGGTGTAGCTTGAAACACTAGCAGAAAAGCATCTATTTGAAGCCAAAGGTGAAGGCCGGAGGCGGGAGGAGGGAAAGGGTGAGGGAAGAGTAGATGCAGCATGTGGCGTGGAACTATAAAGCAGTTTAAACAACACAAATAAATCATCTTAACTGTTTAAACTTCCAATTAAGCTCTCAGCTGTCCGAAAAACTCAGTTTTTTCATCTTGAACCAAACCACTAAATCCAGATGACTAGACACAATTTGCCGTTCAAGTTGCTGATTTGAACAACTTGCAGCATTCGAAATGCTAATTGTGTATTCTGCAGCAGCCTCCAACAAAGATTATACTTTATTATTCATGTGCCGATGAACTGAACATACAGTTTCGCTTAGTCTGTTAATTGTCTTGAGGAGGCGTAAGGCTTTGCAAAAACAGAGAGTGAAAAAATAAGGCATGAGAAGCAACACAAATTAGTTGCTGATTGCACTTTTTTACTGTTTTACCGCGTCCATGCATGAATGAAAGAAAAGCCTCGATGAACACGTTTGCTGCTCATCTAAACTTCATCTACAAATTTCGAGACTCAAATTACCAACCTTGCACAACTGGACAAACCTGTACAAAAAAATTAACATACTCAGGTCGCGGCTTATGGCCGAAGACCAAAATTCAGACCAGCCATTAATCAAAGATGAAAAGTTACACAGTCAAAGTCCTAAAAGTTTAATTAATCAAATAGTGCTGGCTGAACTATTTAAAAGCAGGCCCGGCGTAGTGTCGTGGCTTAACTTTTACTTTCAAGTTCAAATTCAGCCGAGCATTATAAATCGATGAGGAAGTATGCAACACTCCTTCAGTTTCTGGATTTGAGTTCACTTGGTAATGCAGGATGAACGACTTAATATGCATTTAAAAACATGTCATGGCTCGACCTGGAAAATGAGAACAAGACTTAGGCTTGTTTTATGCTAAGAGAATTAGAAGGGCTGTAAAGTCGAAACTTCAAGTTTTTTAACAGTCGGATGATGAAAAGTAAGTGATTTGGAGGCGAATTCTAATTTTATTGCTTTGGACTGTACCCTTACGACGCAGCAACCGAAAACTCCGATTTTAATACTTCACTGGGGCCGGCTGGTGAGCATGGCGTACTTGAAAGCAGCACTACCGTCATAAAGATCAGGGATTCGATTCCGCCAGTGAATAACCAGTCACTCTACGATTCGCTCATTCGTTGCGATGGTAAATTGGTACTGGTCGTGATCAACTTGCTCCTAAGCAAATTTCGAAAGAGGAAGCTTGCCAGTGAAAAGTTGCTGCCACTTGTGTTACTTTCCGAGAGCCTCAGAGAGTGAATACGAATGGGGCTTTGACCTTAACATAAGCCAGATCGGACAGATCATTACTAAATGCAATCATCTTTGTTACCCATTGTGTGCAAAAAAAAAACTTGCTACAGAGCATGAATTCGCTGGTCACTCGGTGCTCAACGCTGCACCTTTATTTTTTTTGTGTCCATTTTTCATATTTCTCAATGTGCTAAGCCCTCCCTCAGCCAATTTTAAACGATGATAAAATAGTGCAGGCGCATTACACATTGAGCCACTGTACACATTTTCGTAGATGGTACATACTACGCGTTATGCGCTTATGCAATTGCAAAGCGCGTAGTGCAGAATGGATGAACGTAAATCAATTTTTCATGTCAACTGTGCTTTGCTCGATGAGATCACGTACGAAGGGATGGCAGCTGCAGCAAGTCGCCAAAAAAAACCCAGGCTGGAACGCACCAGGCTCTCCGGTACTATCATGCGTTTTTGCACTAGACTCGCAGATGGCTATTAGCAGGAATGATCCCTACGCTGTAGCCTAACACTAGGTCTAATAATGGCCGTGCTTTGATCCTTACCGGCATACAGGAGGAGGGCATTGGGATGAAGGTGGCGCATTATAGAGCCGCACGGACACGCAGGTGCATGATTACCGGTTTTTTATGCGTTTTTGCATATATGCAAATTGCAAAAACGCATATTGGGAAGAGGC